GAGGAATGAAATTGGGTGAACAAAGCCATGTTCTACTAAAACGTTGAGGTAACTTAAGACAGTTCAGTGTAAAAAAAAACCTATACAATATTGATTTCATTTAGGTTTTATGCACTTTTTAGGTTGTTAATTGATAAATAATAACTATGCATTGCATAATGTTTGAAAGCATTCTCAAGGTAAAGCATATTTTTCACACTATGATCACTGTAACGTTTAGTTGCTGCTTGTAAAGCTGCCCATTACTTGCTTTAGTAAAAGTATTATCACTAGTGTCTTCCAACTCAGTTTAATATAACTACTGTATATAAATAACTATATTGTTAAGAAGACTTACCATTGACACCATTAACACATCTCAACCCACAATGGAGTTCACAGCAGATTTTGTTATCCGGACAGTCGGCATCTGAATTACAGGCTGGCTTTGTGCAGGCGCTACAGTTTTTCACAGCAGTGTCACCAGTATTTTCTTGCAATGAAGCAGCTGATTTTTTTCTGAAGAGTTCAGGACATCTTAGGTGTTTCTTCGGACCTGTAGCATTTAGGCGATTTATATATCAGAATTTTCATTACAAAATGGGAAGCTTCTTATTCAACATTAAAACAGTCTTCAAGTAAAATCTTTTTATCTTGGTATCATAGGGAAAACCCAAAATGGACTCTCAGACAAGTCAGTTCTTATTTCAAAGCCATCTTGTGTCCATGTTTTTTTAACAGATATTGCATCATTTATCTCCTCTAGAGATGAGCTGTGGGTTCGGGGCAGCCATCAGTTCAACCTGAACCCAAGCTGTTTGAAGTTCGCTAAACAGGCAAACAACTTGGCCTGTGTGCCCACCCGCTGAACCGTCGTCTATCGCCTAGCAACCAGTGGCACTGTGTGGCCTGTAGAGCTCATTGGTTGACTGATAGCTGAGCCGTACAGCGTCATTGGTTGCTAGGATGCAGGTGGGCTCACCATAATAACGCTGTGGGACCGGCAGCATCATTTGTCATTGTGGTGCACCTGCCAGGGTCCTAGCAACCAATGCCGCTGTGTGGCCAAGCCATTAGTGTCCTAGCAAACAATGGCACTGTGAGTGTCACAGAGGATCATTGTTTGCTAGGTGACAGACATCTTTAGGTTCAGTTCACTTGGTCTTCGCCAAAACCTGATTTCTGGCTGGGTTCGACTAACGTCCAAGCAAACTGAAACCAAACCAGTTGTGTAACGCATTATCTTTTTTGGTTTATTGCTCATTGAAGTTCACAAGTTTGAATTTTTAAATTAACATATAGATTCTATATGTTGGTTTTATTATATATGATATAATGCTAATATTTATATTTACATGTGTGATGGGGGACATAGGTGGTAATACTCTGGCTTCTCTGCCTTATGTTGTACTTCTCTAAGCAGCTGCCAGTCATCCCTACAAATAAATCACACTATAAGGGGTCTATTCACAAAGCTGCCGAAGGATCTAGCCGTAGCTTCGGCCGATCCTTACCTTTAAGAATAGCCTGAACAGCAGTGAGAAGCCTGACGGAGGATCGGCTGAGTCAAACTCCTTCTGTACTTCGGGTCGGCCGAACATGCTCAGCATGTTCTGCCTACCCGAAGCCACACGAAGCAAGCCGATGTACGGCTGATTTCAGCCGATGTACGGCTGAAATTAGCCGTACCAGCCTGAAATGAATAGCCGAACAGTGTTCGGCTCACTTCACTTCAGATCGGTCATTCACTCGGCTGCCCTCGGCAGCTTCGTGAATAGACCCCTAAGTATGGCTGGGTGTCAGTAGTCTGAGAGCTGCTATTTTGCATATTACCTTCTCCAAGAAATGATGGAATACCCAAACAATGCAACACAATTATGTTTGTAGATTTTACCAGCATATTCTTTGCAGTCTATATAGCAATGACATAGTATATGGTAAAACATTCCATTTACTGCACTCTGAACCTTTTTTCTAACTTGTAAAGAGCATCGATAATGTAAAAAGATGCAATAACACACAACAAACAGAAATCAGTTACAGAAAGCAGGTCAGAAATCAGATCAGTGAAATTTTCTTGCGAGGCATTAAGTGCACTATGCACATATCTTTAAAAATCAATCATCTAAAGCTTTACACACAAAAATACACTATAGAAGCTAGAGGAAGTATATATTATTTCTTTTCTACTCTTTTTTTTAGTAAGCTTGTATATTACAGCATTAGAAACAGTCTATTGTCAGCTACGCATAAATCTAGACCACTTTAGCTTGGCAACACAGTAGACATCAATGAAGTATATTTTCAGAGGTGAATGTGACATTCACCAGACAATCATGACATGCACCAGGAATATTTATCTGTAGTGAATGTCACTTTCACTGCTTTATAAATATGTCACCTGAAGCAGCACTTGCAATGCCATGCCAGGACCTCAGTATATGATAGTGGCAAGCCAAAGACATCAGTCTGGATTTTTTATTTATTTGTCACAATATCAGTCTATCTTTTACTCTTTTAATGTGACAAATAATAACTATATCTACACCGATCCGTAAGGAATGGGACTCTCATCCTTTTTACTTCACATAAACTGACTCCTCCAGGAACCCTGTAGGAGTCCCAATGGGTTTAGACAGCTACAACATGTTAGCAAGCATCTGATTCATTCAGAATCTCCACTAAGCTTTGGAGTCCAGAGCCACCACCCTAACTTTAGAATATCTCAGCACCACTGGCTTAACTCCAGCTCACATGTTCTGTTTTAGTTTTAGATAGAGTAGGCAAGAGTTACAATTTCAGTAAGATTTTGATTCCTATCTGTGACCCTATTTGAGAGATTTTCCCTTACTTCCTGTCCCTGTGAAATCCATAAAACACTTTGGAGTACTGTTTTTACTGGTACAGGAAGACAAAGGCAGCAATAAAATCATCAAAAGTTTGAACTCCTCCTCATTCTACTAAATGTGTATTTTCTGTGCCCCTTTTGGAGAGATGCCCTAACAAAACTTTAGGCAAAATCTCACCATTGAGATCACAGCAGGGAATCAAAACTTAACAAAGGTTCTAACCCTTCCCAGCTCTATCCGGAAAAAAATAAAAAAGTTTGGCTGTGTGACATTACACCCCTAGATGGCATAGCCAGAGGTAAATGTCTCATCTAATGAGCTTATGTAGTAAGTAAAGCACAAACTGCAGGTACTTTTATCAGTCCATTAGAATGTATCTTAATTAATCTAGCAAATTAAACTTTAAACTTCTAGACAATTATGTGTTACTGGATCTTGTACACCATTACTGCACCTTGTGGAAATAATCCTTAAGCCCAGGCAGATAAATCAGTAACACCCGATAAATATTCCTGTACCTCCTTTTGGAAATGCTGTCACTCCCATTGCTACCAGTCACAAGGAAACAAAATTAGAAGCTATGCTAACTGACCCATGACAGTAGGCTCAGGCAGGTGGCTATTTGGTTACCTTGCAACAATTGGTCTTGTGCTCCCTTTTACCACCAGCAAAACATTCTACATGGAGAATTAGTATGTTCTCACTATGTTTACCTGGGGTTTTTCCTTCAATCTAAACAACAGGCTGGTAGGTTTCATATCAACTTAGCCGAATGTGTGGTAGAGACATTAAACTGTAAGTTTCTTTGGTGTCAACTCACTGAAGAGAAAGTTAGTGTTGTCCACAATTCACAAAATGGCAGCACTAGCTAAATAAATAAATATAATAATGGCACACAATGAGTTAGGTACTTACCATCAGGGAGAACTCTTGCTGCCACTGCTACCAGCAGCAAGGAAAATATAAGGATCTTCATTCTTGGTGACACCAGCTTTTTTGAGTGTATGTCGATACTGTGCTCAGGAGAAAGGAGTTGTCATTCACCTGATGCCTTTCTGTCACTTTCTCTGCTATATATACCTGGCTGGAGCCATTATTCTCTGTTGTGTTGCACACATGGGCCAGCCCCTGCAATTAATTAATTATTCCAGGTCAAAGAACTGGTAACAGAAGTGCCACTTTTCTGTAAAGGTCACTGGGTACTTATGTCATACTATTGAGTTCTCATATTTTGTACTGTGTAGTTTTAACGCAAACACTATTCTCCTAAATAATAGCCCTTTCATTAATCTTACATTCTCATGACTTAAAACTGTCAGCCCACTCAAAACAAATAGCTCAGGGTGCATGCTGGTGGGCATACCAGCCTATTCGTTTTTTTATTTCTCTCAAGGGTTTCCTGTAGGACAATATCCTAAAAAGAGTGCACAGCAATTATTCTGCCACCAGTTCTCACCTCTCCTGCTGAACTGTTGACAATTTATACACATAATTCTAAAAAAATATATCCACTTAAAATGGGCATTGCAGGTAGGAAATCCTGTAAACTCAGACATGGAGAGCTCAAGATTGATGTCCCTAAGAGATATTTGAAGTTACTTTTTGGTTTGACCGGCTCACATCCTCCATAAAAACTACATTATCAGAATTGGGTGGACTGGCCGCTTGTCAATGTACTCTAATATATACCCCAATACCAGCTTAGGCACCCTATGCACAGATGTCAAAACGTGACTTTCTGTACATTCACCTAGTGTGACCTATGCAGGTAAACCTCCATTTACCTCTTTTGGAAATGGAGGCCATAATGTACATGCAAAGTTATTTGAAACATGCATGTTCTCTGGTGGCCACAGATACACAGTCATGGATGGTTTGTGTTTGTCAAAGTGTCTCTTGCTTGTATTGTGTGTACACAACAACTCTGTACCCTGCAGAGAGTAGTGGAGCCCAGGCTCCACTCTAAGAAGTGACAAATGAAAAAATGTATGGAGCGACATCTGTGCGTGTTTGACACCTGTACCCAGAAAATTAAAAAATCAATAGCAGCAATAGGTTCCTTTCTTATAACAACCATTGTGATTTTTTATGCATAGAGTTTTTAATGCCAAAGCACACTGACTATGCTCCCCCTTTCAGTGAGGATTGACAGGTTTTCTTTTGTATTTCCAGCAATTTGACACCCTTGTCGGGGAAGGCGGTGGGCAGATGAGTGGAGGACAAAAGCAGAGAATTGCCATTGCTCGAGCCCTGGTCAGAAATCCGAGAATCCTCCTTCTTGACATGGCCACATCAGCTTTGGATAATGAGAGTGAAGCTACTGTCCAAGAAGCTCTTGATAAGGTGTGTTTTATGTATGAAAGTAACTGCATTACATTGCTTAACTAATCAACTGTGACTACATTAACTAACATAATACACTTCTTAAGTAGTGATGGGCTGCCGGTTACGTTCGACCCGAACATTGCCTGTTCGAGCGTTCGCCAAATTTGACCGCGCAACATCCCACAAGGCAATGCACCCTCTGAAGCTCTAATTGCTTAAAGTCTTGCACCTGGCCACTGGTCAGATGCAAGACTTTGCCCAATCAGGGCTCAGTACTCAGTTAGAGCTACGATTGGGCAAAGTCATGATGACTTTGCCCAATTATGGCTCAGAGCTAAGTCCCAGCAGCACACTATATGAGGCTGCTTACACCGCAGCCCTACTAGTGTGTTGCTGGAGTTAAAAAAGAGAGTTCTATAGCAGAGTTCTATATATAGCGTCCTATATACAGCGTCCTATATGCAGCATCCTATATGCAGCGTCCTATATAAAGTGTTCCATATAAAGCGTTCCATGTACAGCGTTCCATATACAGCTTCCTATATACAGCGTCTTATATACAGCGTCCTATATACAGCGTCCTATATACAGCGTCCTATATACAGCATCCTATATACAGCTTTCTATATACAGCGTTCTATATCAGAGTTGTGTACTATAGCAGTCAGTCATACTGGTCTATTATAGCAGTCGATCATAACAGTTGATTCTAACAGTCGATTATTGCAGTATATTGCAGTAAACATCATGTCAGAAAGGCCAAAAAGGACAAGCAGATGCTCCCATGCAGCAATAAGAGGGCAAGCAGTCTCTGTGTCCGCAGGCCAAAGTCGTGGTCGTCGTCATGGACAACGCTGGACGCCATGATTGACCCTGGATTATGTCAGTGGATCCATTTTTTGCAAATAAGCCCCCTTGCCCGCATACCCCCAAAACCACCGTGTCAGGTTTGTGGGTAGGAGGCCCTTGTCCCCATTGGCACGGGGACAAGGTGCTTTTCCATGGGCGACCCTGGAAAAGCACCCTCCCAGTGCCGAGGGCATGTGGCCTGGTGTGGGAGGGAGGGAAGGGGGGCGCTCGCTTGTCCCCCCCTTTCCGGCCCTGCCAGACCTATGCTCAGATCAAGAGTCTGGATGGAATTTTAGGGGGGACCGTACGTCTCCCCCCCAATTTTTTGGGGGTGGGGTTCCTCCTTAAAATTCCTACCAGACCTTAAGGGCCTGGTATGACTTTAAAGGGGAACCCCAAACACTTTTTTTATTTTTTTATTTACACGGGGTCCCTCCTATGTATTCCTAACAGACCATAAGGGTCTGGTATGACATTTAGGGGATACCCTACGCTTTAAAAAAAAAATGGCCCCTCCTAACATTCCTACCAGACCTAAAGGGCCTGATATTGTTTGGGAAGGTAAACTGCATGCGTTAAGAGTAAAAAAATAAATACAATTATTTAGAAATGTAACTTTTTGCTACAGCAGGTTCTATACATCGTACAGATCCGCCACTTCACAGGCATTTCATTTCATTTCATAGTGCAGTACCTGGAACCCCATACACCTTTTATGGCCAATAACTTGCATATAAGCCCTCTTAAAGGGGACAATCGTTTCCGAAAGTTCAACCCCCATTGACTTGCATTGGGTTCGAGTTTGAATTCAAACTTTTCGTCCGTTCGAATGTTTGAATACGAACCAAACACGGGCGTGTTCGGCACATGACTAATCTCAAGAAAAATAACATTTATTTTTATCAGCAAAAATCAAGCCATAGGTTCCGCTATAGCTGCCCAGGTGATTACTATGGGGTGCAGAATCACAATCTCACCAGCACTGCACATTCTGCTGTTGTCTTTGTTTGTTGATAGATCCTTAATGAATCAACATATAGACATTAGACAGAACAAGCCATATTATTACACTGAAAAATGTAATAGACTCTGGGTGCCACAGTTTTTGAGTTTTCCTTGCTTCTAAGGGTTAGAGGGGTTTGGACCACAAAAACACTCTTTACCTATAATGTTACAGCAAGTTCTCCTGCAAAAGTAGATACAAAGGGGGTGATTTACTAACCTAAACACACGCACGCACCAGGTGCGTGTGATTTTTACACAGCAAAGTGTATTTATCAACCAAAAAGTCTCTATAAGCATGTTTCCACTAATGCCATATATGGAAAAATCATGCACATGATCCATATATAATGCTGCTTCACAGTTTAGACAAAAATGGTTAGCTCATGCATTTACATTCCTGCATTCATCAATGCAAGCAACACAATGTAGAGCTAATTTACACAACATCACCTTGCAATTCAGGGCAGGGCTTTGCACAACACACCTGCTGGGTGTGTACACACTACAAAGGTGTTTAGATTCCACCCATAGATCATGCTGGGAGGGAACACACTACAGAGGTGTATACATGTTCGTGGCGTGTTTATAAGGTTAGTAAATCAACCCCAAAGTGTCAATTGGATATATTTAGCAAATTCAAAAGCATCATGCTTTTCCACAAAACTGAAGTTCTTTTAATATTTTAATAGAGATTGTGATTACATGCACAGTAAACTAGTCATAGATATCTATATTATTATTTTTTAAGCGGCAATATGAAAATAAAAGAGAAAGACAAAACAGTAATTTTACATGTAAATTCAGTCAACTCAAAGGTAGCTGGCCCTGAATTTTAAGACATAAACTCGGGGACACTGAGACACATCTCAAATCTTTATATTTTAATATTAATCCTTGAGAGCTCCTAGGTATGAAAGAGACCCTGTTGCACACTGTGCTGAGAATTGTAATCAACCATTTTATGTGCAGGTTCATTCTGGTCGCACCACCATTTCTATTGCTCATCGTTTGTCCACAATCAAAAATGCAGACATAATTATTGGCTTTGAACATGGCCGAGCTGTGGAAAGAGGAACACATGATGAACTGCTTGAGAGAAAAGGAGTTTATTTTACTTTGGTGACATTACAAAGTCAAGGAGATAAAGCTCTGACTGAGATGGAGAATAAAGGTATGCAATGCCTTCTCATGAATTACAATTTCTTCTATGTCTACTTGATATCAAGTTTGGCTTTAGGGTTGGATTTGGGACAAACAAAAAAACCTGGATATGGAGGCTTAGAGGAGCAGGCAAATCAATTTGGGTATGGGGTCTGCATACAAATCTATGTATCATAATCTAAACTTGTTTCATCCTAGTACTACAAGGCCATAACACTAATCACTAATGCAGTCAATTATTAGAAAGGGTGGTTAAAAGTAATAAAGATACATTTTTTAAGTTTGGGGTGCTCAAAGCAGGGCATTCTTATGTTACTGACCATCTGTTCTTGGAGTTGCCCTTTTTTCACAGCTTGCTGCTGCATCGTTTTAAAGGGAAATGAAACCCACCTTATATTATATCACTTTCCTTCACTACACCCTCTCATCCTAATAGTTTAAATAAACGTTTTCATATACTATTTGGGCCTACTATCTCAAATTAATATTGGCCTGCTGCTGACCAATTTTAAACTGCTGTATCATCTGCAGTGTTCTAATTCTTGTTGTAAAAATAATTCAATATTGGGGAGGGCACAGGATCAAGACATCAATTCCCTTAAAGGAGCCGCAGGTTATTTGTTATAAAATAAAAGAGGCGAACAACATAAATAAACTTTACTGTTTTGGTCAGTATTATTGTATCCCGTTGGTGGGAGCACACAGAAAATTCCAGCAATCCAACTTGTTTTGAGCAAGCTCTGGACGAATATGGAAAATATCTGTAATATCATCTCACTTCTGTATTTTAATGTCACAAGAAGCATGGCTATTACCTAGCTAAACCAGCACAGACATGAAGCAGCATTTCTACTCATTTCCAAGCTAAACCATGACTTGCAAAGGTAACAGACTATAGAGACTTTAAAAGGTGTGAGGCTTCAGTTGAGCTTTCAAGTATATCTAAAGCCAAAACTTTAATTACAAATTGGATAGAGTGTTTTTTTATATATACAGCCTGTGTCTGTGCTGCAGAGATTTACCCTCTCTATTTGTCCTAGTAACCATTGCCACTTGAAGTGAAAGTGAGGAAAAATAAAACATTTTGAGTTATCAATGGAATAAAGAGGTGGCCTTCCAACGGTGACAAACGCCTATTATGATTCACATGAATTAGAGAGATTACCTTGTGCTCCCTGTGTTGTCTACAGGACAGGGAATGAAGGAAAATCTCCCCAATGGTGCACAGATGGCAAAAACAACAACAAAACCCTTGCCAACTGCACCCAAAACTAGAAAAAAAAAAAAAGGTTTCAACTTTAGATACACTTTAATTAGGGGGAATTGTTCCTGCAAAAGTAATTACATTAGATAAAGAGAAAATGCATCAGTACAATTCAATTTTCAACTTTAAAGCAGAACTCCATGTACATTTGTTTTAATATTAGGTGTGCATACAACATTTTCCTCTCCCAAGGTGTACCTCAGTGCCTGATCGCGGTTTTGTCCTCCAAATGTAACCGAGATGATAGACATTGTTAGACAAGGGAGAAAAAAACGTCTTAACTGATATTGAAAGAAAATTGCCTGGAGTTCAGCTTTAAATACTACCACTTTTGGAAGTATTTTGGTTTATTGGGAATCTTATAAAACTGATATATTAAAATAGATGTCTTCTTTGTGCATTTTTTTAAAATGAAAAGTGTAATTCAATAAACTCCTGCTTAGCCTATGAAATGATTGGTAGTTTTTACATGTAATTTTTTTATTAGACAAAGAGAACAAAGAATTTGAAGAGCCTAAACTGGAGAACCTTCAACCTTTAAAAAGAGGCAGCTATCAAGCCAGTTTACGGTATTATCATCAAATTGGTTTTGTAAAGTTCACAGGCTGCTTGAATAGCAAGCAGTGAGACATATGTTAATTAGGTGCAATATGGTGATAATTGGCATATTTAGGAGTCACTGATAAATAAACTCTCTACTTTCTATAAAAATGTATTATTTATATATATGTAGGCTCTTGTAACACTGATGAAATGTAATGTCTGATACCTGATACCTTACAATATGTCTAGGTAAAAGGGGGATTGTTTTGGAAAAGTACATTCGGAAAGGTCACACTTAAGAGAGGTACAATTATACATTATGGTAGCTTGTGTAAGAAAATATATACAGACGTCAGAAGAAAGGTCTTAAAGAATCTATTATCAAGGTATACGTATTTATATACTAAAGGGTGTAAAAAGAAAGTCTGTTTAAATAAGTAAGTCATACAAAAGAGTTTCATATAGAAGAACAGAGAAAGAGAGATATACTTACAACCATTTATAAAACGCTTACTATTTTTATGAAGTAATCAACAATAAACATTTTATTACCCACTTTAGTTTCTAAGTTAACTGAAAGAAGAATACATTCCTTGAGACTTTTAATGCTCTGCATAATATTGAAATACTCTACTATTCTAAGAATAACTGGTAATATATTTAAAGTACGACTCCATACCAATTGTTGTCTAAGTTTTGGATGGGCACAGACACTGGCTCTTGGATACCCCACCTGCAATATTTCCATGCAGTTGTTTGTATCTAAAGCCCCTCTTAGCAAGATTATAATAAAAGTCACACTCACAGAAATATATCAAATACATAAGCAAGTATATCTGGGGGACACAATATCATAAGGAATTCCCTACAAATGTGTCCAATATTTCAGGGGCAGACATACTATTTGTGTAGAATGTTCATCACAACAATGGCCCTCTTATACTTTGGGGCCTTTTTAAAGTAGATGTGGGTCAGGCAGGTCCCCCAACCTGTCATGTAGACATAGAAACTGTTCAAACCCAACAGGTTTCCTGTTTCAGACTACAACAGACCTTAATGCATATACCATAAAGACATAGACACTGTTCACTTTTAGGGCTAATGAGGAATAGGAGATCTATTGATAGGTGAATCTGCACAGTGTGCACTCTACAAGTTTGAAGCACATCATCGCTGTACAAGTATGCGATGATGTGCTTCAAACAAAAGGCAGCTTTGCCTGTGACAACAAGTGTATGCTGCACACTAAAATTTTAAAAAAAGGCCCTAGCAACAGAAAATAATATAAAATAACTCATCAGAATCTTTACATTTTTTTATAAATATTAAATAAAAGAAGTTAAAGAGCAATAAAACAATAAAAAAAACACTGCAGGGGGAGGGGGCAGCAGCTAAATAGCAATTACAGTTGTTGCTGATACACACAAAATGGTAATCCTAAAAAGGACTGTTGGTCTCTGAACTGTGTGCTAAGGGGGTACACAACAGTATGTAGCCCACCATACTGCAATCCACACTTATTTCCACACTCCTGGGTGCAGGTTTCTGCACAAACGTGCATGCGTGTGAATGAGGCCTTAGACTATGACTGGCAACCTCACAATATTATCTTTAAAATAGAATATCATTTTTGGGTGAGGTTAACCCATTTTGAATAAAGATGGGTTTTACCGTCCATAAAAAAATGCTTTTATATTTCGAGGTTTGGTTTTTTAGGTTTCTAAACATGGGGCAGCAATGTATTTTTTAATGTATCAGATTATTTGAGGCCAGAATATAGCCTACAAAACCACAAGTCTCAGCATGCCCATGTTGAATCATGTAGTAAATTTTGTACATGCTCATACACTTTCTTCCTTTAGTGCATCTATTCGCCAGCGCTCAAGATCTCAGCTATCCAATTTGGTCCCTGACACTCCATTTTTGACAGTAGCTGATACATCTGAAGCTTTTCAGCAGTATGAGGACTCAGCCACAAGTAAAAAGGTGAGTTTATGCTCAGGAGACAAGGCGGTATCCCTGCAGGAAAGTAGGATTTGTAATGAGGAATTGCTCAATATATTTCTCATCCACTAGAAATAATGTTATATTGACACACTTTAAGGGCTTTAGGGAGGGGACATATTGTACGAACAGGAAGTCACAACATGAATCTCCTGTTCCTTTGGGTCTTGTAGCACATGTAAACTGTGACCATGTTTGCCTATACAGGTAAAAATTATGATTTTTTTTCCCACTGTTTTTGGTCTTTGGTTTTTGGTTATATTTTAGGTATAAAAAATATAATCTACTAACTTTTAACTATTCTGTATTTTATGAAAACATTTATTATAAATATTTCAGGTTTACTCTGTTTTGTTTCAGGAAGCAATTCCAATTGATGAAGATGAAAATGTAGAGCCAGCTCCAGTGGCCAGGATATTGAAGTACAATGCTCCTGAATGGCCCTACATGTTATTTGGTTCCTTCGGAGCTGCTGTGAATGGTGCTGTAAATCCTCTCTATGCTCTCCTTTTCAGTCAGATTCTTGGGGTAGGTACTCTTGTCCTGCTAAACAGCATATCCAAAAAACACCCTGTTAGAATTTATTTTATTAAGTAATTCAGTGCTGATGCATTTCTATATTAAAAAATAAAACTGTCTGAAAGAAAGAAACTGTTATTCTACGCTGATAGCAATATGATTCTCAGTGTATGCACCCAAAGTGGGGGAACTGTAAGTACCCAATACATTATTAATTATTATAAAAAATACAGACATTAATACACAGAGACAGCAATAATGAGTACCCAGCTAGATTGCTCTGACCGGCATCGCAGATGCCCAGAAAATTTTATTTTACACAGTAATGTGTTACTGGCATGATATGTGGGTGAATGTACATCATTCCTGACAGTCCTATTTTGACTATGAAAACTGGTCACAGTCATTCAGGCACACACTCACACTGGGATCAATGCAGGGACGTGCAGTCAGTGGTGGCAGGTGAGGCAGGGCCTCACCTAGTATTATGAAGAGAAAAGGTGTCAGCTTCAAGTCTGAAGCTGACAGCTTTTTCTTCATTCAGATTGGCTTGTTATAGGTTACACAGCAGGGAAAGCCTCCACACTGTGTAACCTGTCATGGACGGAGCACTGCCTGGTAATTACAGGCAGCACTGCATCCGGCTTTTGACAGGTAGTTAGGTTACACAGCAGCGGGCTTCCCTACTGCTTGTGTAACCTAACTAGTGAGGCAAGAGCTGTCACAGCCTCTACTCTGTGTTAGAGGCGTGAGCTCTGTGGATGGCTTGGACCAATGGCAAAGCCCCATTGGTCCAAGCTGTCCAATCAAAAAAACGGAAAAAAAAAACACATCGATCTAGATGCCTCAGCAGTGACTCAGTAGTGACGAGCAAGTGAGGGACAGGGATGCTCCTCTCTATCTCCTAACTTCCTCCTCCCCACACAGCTTGGTTACCGAGCTGGGGATGGTGCTTCGTCGGAATGGGGGCAGATCTTCCTCTGGATGGGGGGTGCCTCACCTAGCACAGAAGGCACAACGCATCACTGGATCAATGTGGGTGAAAGTTAATTGACCTACTATTATGTTTTTGTGATGAACAAAGAAACCAGAACACCTGAAGGAAATCTGTAAGAACAAGAAACACAAATTCTTCCTATGACCGTGTCCCCAGGGGCTAAATGAGGACTAAAACCACTAGGCAGAAGTTATAACCAAAGCATTTCTCATCCTTTGGTTTCTCACGAAACACTGCTAAAATTGATTATACCTACAGCTCACAGTACATTAGCATGATCAGTGTGTTATACCAGAGTTGCAGGGAAGTGAGGTTGTAGAAAGTGTTAAATTAAAGAATAGAGAATTCAGATTATTTGATACCCATGGCAGATTATGGTTTTACAACTCCCTAATCTATAAAAATAAAAATGGTTTCAGTATAAATGTTGAATAATAACAGAAAAGAAATACAAAGAGTGAAAATGTTGGTGTCTTCTAACATTGGTAGTCAGTGTAGAGGTGTTCACTTACATTGGTGGTTACTGCTTTAAAAAGCTTTAGGAACCTCAATGGAAACCTAGGGTTCCACAGAACCATGATTGAAAAAGACTGGCATAGACAAAGTCATTTAATTTTTAAAGGGAAAGTATTTTTTTGGTCAATGTTATTATCTTTGTTTTTTTCAGACTCAGTTCACAGACTAATGTTTTATATGATTTCAAATATTTCTAATTCACACATGAACATTTATTACAGGCTGATTCCAGGACAATAATGTTGCAAAGTATGCAAACAGATAGAAACACTATTTACTAAGCAATGTTATTTTTTTTCTCATCTTACATAGATAACCAGATATTTCAGGCCTATGTGGTAATGTGCACCTATTATTTTGCAGACATTTTCTCTACAAGATGAAAAAGAACAAAGGGATCAAATTAACGGCATTTGTTTACTGTTCGTTCTTATTGGTGTCATATCTTTACTGACACAGTTTTTACAGGTAATTATTTTCAGGTCTTCTATTCAATGTAGGAGATTAAGATTTAATTTCTTTTGGTTACTTGTTACTGTATCATTTTTCAGGGTTACACATTTGCCAAGTCAGGAGAATTGCTCACCAGAAGGTTGCGTAAGATTGGATTCAAAGCTATGCTTGGCCAAGAAGTTGGATGGTTTGATGACCCTCGAAATAGTCCTGGAGCTCTTACAACAAGGCTGGCAACAGATGCATCACAAGTACAAGGGGTAAGAAGCCTAGAGTCTGGGTAAACAATTGGGTGGGTTTGAGACAGAGACATATTTTTTTCATATTTACAACTAAGAGCAAAACCATGTACAAAAGAGCCTTAGTACCAGAATCTTGGCTTATTTATTTTTATTATGCATGCCATTGTACTTATGTGCACTGTGTAACTGCTACAATATTTTTGGACCATGCAGGATCCCTTTATCAAAATGTAACATGTCACAGATAAAGGAGACTGCACAGTCCGGAAATGCTGAATATACTAATTGTGATGATTTTGCATCTTCAAGAATCTTAATTTCTTTTGTAGGAGGTAGGTGAAGGTGCTGTCAAAGATCCTTTTAACTGTGTGATGGTACCATTCATCTTGTCACTAGAGCACTCAGCATATGTTATAAGGATCTATACTGATTGATGTGCGACGGTCACAAATTATTTCCCCTATTTCGAATACTATTGAACAGTCTGTGTCACCCTCCCTTAGAAGCTTGTATGAAAATATAATAGGTAGAACCTGTACGGAAATATGGGAGCTGTCATTGCTAACTAGCTTGTAGAAGGCTGAATTCACATTATAGCATTATAAAAGTGGTGTGTTTTATCATATGTCTTTTACCACATTGTACTGTTCACAAATTTTTAATAGTTGATAACCTTTAGTTTTTTTCACTCCACACATCACCTTTAACACTATTAGGCTTAGAAGAATCTAGTAAAAAAAAAAAAAAAAATTAAAAAGAACAAATCTTTCCTCGAATGGCAGCTGTCATTTTCTTAATGCAATCCGTTGGTGCTGATTTGTACATATGAGTTAAAACACAGGTCAGATAACTTGTTCAGACATAGTAACCATGTTTCCTCTCTGTTTGTCAGATTACCAATGACAAAAGTCCCCAGTCCTTATGTAACTACAGCTTTTCCAGATCTACCTCTCCACACAACATAATCATGTTGACCTTTGGAGAGATAATTGGCCTTTTGTGAATTTGCCTTTTACATAAAGAGTAAATTAATATCCACTTTCTATGGAAAAACATGTTTTGTCTCTTTCAAAGAAAAAGAAGCTTTTTTTTTGTAAGGAGCAACGTGTCACTGTACTGAAAACCTATGGTGACTGAAATTGCTTCCTTCACTTTCTGAAAATGCTACTTTGAGTCACTGAGGTGGAACAATGTTTGCAGAATAGGAGCTATGACTTCAGTCTGACGTATTTTCATGCTTGGCTTAGGTCATGAATAGTGATATATCTGACAAACTCTGTATTGATATACCCCTTCTTATTAAGTGCATTGGGTGCTGGATTACCTGGTGGATGAAAAGTAATGTTGTCCACACACCATTCAGCATAAAATTACCATCTATATTGATGTTCTTGAAGCATAATGTGAAATGCAACGTTTCTGAACCATGGTGTCCACATTTTGCCTGATGAAGGGACCCAGCATGGTCCTGAAATGTTGCATTTTCCATTATGCTGCAAGAACATAAAAAAAAACTATGGGGTCTATTCACTAAGCTGCCGTAGGCAGCCGAGTGAACGACCAGCCTGAAACGAAGTGAGCCGAACACTGTTCTGCTATTCACTTCAGGCTGGTACGGCTGAAATCAGCTGTACATCGGGTGGCTTTGTGTGGCTTCCGGGTCGGCCCAACATGCTCAGCTTGTTCGGCCGACCCGAAGTGCAGAAGGAGTTCGACTCAGCCGATCCTCCGGCAGGCTACCCGCTGCTGTTGGGTCTATTCTTATAGATGCCGAATAGCAGTGAGTATATAGCCGAATGCCGATGAGCCCTCTGTGGGACCAAGCAGAACAGAAAAATAGCTTAAAAAGTGCAAAAAAATAAATAGAAAACGATTGTGCAGAGCTGGCAGTGACAGCTAGCTTCACCCAACTGTTTTCTATTGGCCGGGCGGAGTTTTTATTTTTATTCTGACGGCAGCCAACGGCTCCATGTCAGAATAAAAAAAAAAAGCAGGGAAGGTTTTTACTTTACTCGAAAAAGTGTTTCTCTCCTGGGCGGCCGGGATTGGGAGACTCCCGGAGTGCCCGGGAGAGTTTGCTGTCTGGAGATCAGTGTCCCTGGTTGGCTGGTAACCAGGGACGCTGATCTCTCTGCAAATGGCCAAAGCCAGTCGTGAGATGACGGCTGGCTCCGCCCACCCATTCGGCCACCTTAGTCTTTCAGCCACCTTCGGCTCGACTGAGCCGCTCGGCCAACTTCAGGAGCTGTACGGGCTATAGGGAATAGCCTGTACAGCAGCCCTTCGGTTCTAGCCGAAGCTAGCCGAAGGATCAGCTGAAGCTACGGCTAGATCCTCCGGCTTCATGACTAGACCCCTATACTTTGAACCTGAATGGTGTACGGACAACATATCTTCTACCTTGTTCCAGGTCAGTGATCCAGAAAGCACTAAAGTTATTAGAGGAGAAGAAAAATTAAGTTACTAACATTTTAACAAGGCCATCAGTGAAAGTCTCAATTTTTTCTCAGTACAGGTTTCCCTTAGTATATCTCTGTGCACTCTGACTTCTCACTCTCAAGCAAGTGGCAAGCAGGTCGCTTCTTACCTCAAAGAATAGACCTTGTGTGGTCCTAAAAGTGCTGATATTAAGTCTGAAATTAAAAAAAAAATGGAAGCCGCACCCATCAATCTCTAATTAGCCTTTTAAAGTAAGATGCACATGAAAGGGCTTTGCACAGTACAAACACAAACATTTCCCAGCGCACTTACCAACTAGCCTGCAAGAAAACCAAATTACACCGACTAACAATTTGTGTTGAACACAGAGGTTTTATTTACGCAACTTTTACAAAATATGTAGAAGCCACATTGCCTCATCAAGGCCCATCTGTGTATTGTGGTCCTCATTCTAATCTATGAGAACCTTAATCTTGGATCATATATAGCAATAGATAAACTGAGGGTTGGTATGTATGGAGGTAGCCCATTCCTCCTTGAAGACACAGGGACATAACAGAAGCCCAAATGTTTTTAATGCAAATTGTTAAAGAGTGCAATTTGTATATACATATATACATGAATATTTATTTATTTATTTGTTGGTTGGTTTTTGTATGTAGTCTAACACTAACAATAAATGTACCTGAATTACAGGCTACCGGATCACAGATTGGCATGATTGTAAACTCTCTCACCAACATCGGAGTGGCTATCATCATCGCCTTCTACTTCAGCTGGAAATTGAGCTTGGTCATCATGTGTTTTTTGCCCTTCCTGGCTTTATCAGGGGCCCTCCAGGCTAGAATGCTTACTGGATTTGCCAATCAGGACAAACATGCTATGGAATCAGCAGGCAGGGTAAATCTATCTTATGTTATTAAACCAAGGGTCCAAGTGTACCAGGCACCTACTTAAAGTAAACCTTGCAGCTAAAATGCAAGGTGCCCTTTTCAAATGCCGCCTCCCTGTTGATTAAAGGCAACACAAAAACATTTTAAAAAGACCAGTAGAGGGAAAAGTTACATAGTATACTTACCTTTCCCCCAGCTTTTGCCTGTAGCACCTAGGCAAGAGTGATGTCATCCTCCTTCCAGTGAGGATTACTTTGGATTACTCGCCATTATCTGGTATTAAATTGGGAGGGGAATAATGTCACCCCCTGCACATGGAAGCCAGAGGAAATGTAAGTACATTATCTACCTTTTTCCTCCCAGCATCTTTTTCTTTTTTTTTACTTTTACTCTGTATTTTAACAAGAGGAAGGGGCATTTAAAAAGTAGATCTTGCACAGAGGGTAGACTCTGCAGACAGTGGGATCCATATTACTAGGGTAAAAAAAAAAGTATACTTGTCAGATCCATTTCTCCTGCATTTAAATGTAACTGCATTTACATTTGTGAACTGTTTTCTGTTGGCCGGCGGTTCTGCTGCCGTCAAAAAAAAAGAAAAGAAAAAAAAACATTTTCGCCATAGGAATGCATTGCTAGATTCCTATTGGCTATTTCAATTTGCAATAGCCAATAGCAATGCATTCCTATGGTGAATTTATTTTGTATTTTTTATTCTGACGCCAGCCAACGGCTCTGTGTCAGAATAAAAAAGAAAAAGCAGCATTATTGGGTCTATTCACGAAGCAGCCGAAGGATCTAGCCGTAGCTTCGGCTGATCCTTCGGCTAGCTTCGGCCCCAGGAAAGCGTCAGAATAAAAAATAAAAATTCACCATAGGAATGCATTGCTATTGGCTATTGCAAATTGAAATAGCCAATAGGAATCTAGCAATGCATTCCTATGGCGAAAAACTTTTTTTTTCTTCTTTTTTTTGATGGCAGCAGAACCGCCGGCCAACAGAAAACAGTTGGGCGGAGCTAGCTGTCACTGCTAGCTCCGCTGAGTGGCATTCGGCTATTCACTCACTGCTATTCGGCATCTATAAGAATAGACCGAACAGCAGCAAGTAGCCTGCCGGAGGTTCGGCTTAGCCGATCCAGATGTTGGATCGGCTGAGTCAAACTCTTTCTGCACTTCGGGTCGACCGAACATGCTGAGCATGTTCGGCCGACCCGAAGCCATGTGAAGCGACCCGATGTACGGCTGATTTCAGCCGATATATGGCTGAAATCAGCCGTACCAGCCTGAAGTGAATAGCTGAACATCGTTCGGCTCACTTTGCTTCAGGTCGGTCATTCACTCGGCTGCCAATGGCAGCTTAGTGAATAGACATCTAAGTGTATCTAATCTATCTGCCCCTGGACGCATTTTTTTTTATTTTTTCAAACGCTGCTTCAAAACACATATGAATGTATATAATCGCATGGCCTTATGAATAAGGCCTAGCTACTACTAAATCTATAAGGTGTGTCTTCATAACTTTACATTAAATAGTACGTCTATCCAGTACCAGCATTCTAATACTACGGGGGAATACAGAAGCATACATTCCATGGGCAGTCTGGTGGCAAGAGAGTTCTTTTTTTCATCGTAACTTTATGATACCAATGAGTCCATTTCTATGGTGTTCTACACACATTGTTTTTACTTGCTGGAAAGCCCCCCTAGGAACATGAGGCATGCTTCTGGCTTGATAACGTTCAATAAACAGACCAGAAAACTTTGGAAATCCTGCCAACAGGGTCCTTAAGACAAAAAAAAGGGCCTGTGGTTGGTAAAAATGTATGTGCATCCAGAAATGAAAAAACATACATTTTAGTTAAACTTATACTTTAACGTAGACCCCAAAGCTATCTAGAACATTGGTCAGTGAAAATGCCCAGTTGAAGCCTTGATAGGAGACAAATTGCTCTTCTACCTAAAATTAGCTTTATAAAAATTATCATCTAGTAGGTGAATATTTTTAAAGTATCAGGTTTGCCAATTAACCAATCATTTGTATAAGGGGTTGCTGCCATGATGTGTAAGCTTTAACACAGGCTGCATTATTAATTGTAGATTTTCAGAGTTTGCATGACCGGTTCTGCTTTAAGTAAATATATATTGCTGCTGCTATACCTTTTATCCCATATTTCCGCTGCAAGTATACCTGCTTTAAGCTGAACTCTGAGCTGACAGTCCTGTCGGGCAGAACAGGAGACCTGTTTTTGCTCTGCTGCAGTTCAGTGACACTTACAGGTCTCCTCCCCAGGGCCGGCCTTAGGGGTGTGCGAGCCGTGCGGCCGCACAGGGCGCCATGGCAACAAATGTGTCTGAATACAATACAGACCTCTGGCTTCATTTCCATGTAGCCCGGGGTCTGTGTTCTGTTTTTTATTTTTACTTTTCTAGATGCACATACTTGAAAAAAGGGGTCAGCATGACGACCTGACACTTTATTTTTATAGACTCTATTGTATTTTGACATTTATTGTTTACCTTCTGTTGTTTTATTTGATAAGAATACTTCTATTGTGCCTACAAGTTTAATACCTTTGAATAAAAGTTTTATTTTTATCACACTTTTTAATATGTTTCTTTGCGGCTTAACAAAATAGGAGTCTTTAAATGGTGCATATATTGGGGGAAATGGGTGTGGTTACGGGGGCGTGGCCACTAAAGGGTGTGGCCACTGAGGGGCGCTGTAAAGCTTTCTCGCACAGGGCGCCTAAAGGCCTAAGGCCGGCCCTGCTCCTCCCCACCCTCACTCTGTGACTGGACAATGAAAGGGATGTGGCAGTCCAATGAGCTCATCGTTACTTGTGCATAACTATTTGCACTGAAAAATAATAATGATTTATTCATAATTACAGAACTTTATTGATGTGTATCTTTTATACATGCCTGGAGTTTAATGTTAACTGATGTTGCAGGCCCATCATACACAATTAGTCATATCATTGAGTGCTCCAAGTGAGGGAAAAAAAACTGCTGAACCAATCATATCTGCTGTCTTTATGTGCATTTTCTTAATCCCCTTTAGTGCAATCATATATCTTTCAACAGTAAACCTTTTAACTCTGACTACTCTGTGGACATAAAGTGGATGGCACTCCACTGCTTGCTTGTCACTGCGTAACAAGCAATAGCAATAGATAACATTGCTTGTTATGAAACCAGATTTATCTAATTGATTTTTGCAGTGATTTCAATTCAAGCCAATAGCAGCAAATAAACCATTCACTGTGCCAATTTAGTGTATAGATTTATATAGAAACAGAGTACATTCATATAAATGCATATCCAAGAAGGAGCTCATAATCATAATCAAAACTATACATATAAATACAAACACTTGAGCTGAATAGTAAGAGCCTCTATCGGCTGGCTGGGGCTTATGCCAATGGCATCAGTTTGAGCCTCCGAGATCATTCAGAATTCATTGACATGTGCATTTGACCTGCAATAGATCTTCTTGTGACCTGCATTTTACCTACTTCAAGTGAAGAGTTGCACAAGATTGCAAACCCCATTGGAAGTGAACTTGTCAACACAGCACAGGCCCCTGGACGGTTAACCTGTCCATTTAAATTTCAAGAAAAAACAGGAGCATCTAGAGGACGTTCATGCAAACATTGACTTCCAGCATATAAAGACAACCACTAAACTATTATGCAGTTCAGTGTATAGGCTTACCGTATATTACTTCTGTATAATTATCTCCCATGATAATAACATTACTATGCACAATATAAAAGTATTGCATAACAGTAACATACTGTTGTTGTTTCACGTTCAATTGTATGCTGTCTTCATTAGGTTGTATTTGATCTATTTATATAGGTAGATAAAAGGTCTATATAAGCAGTGTTCATTGTTAATATAATTAATGTAATTCTGTTTTGTCAGATTTCCAGTGAATCACTTGGGAACATCAGGACCATTGCTGGAATTGCAAAAGAAAAACAATTTATTGAAATGTACGAGGAACAGTTGGAAGCCCCCTACAGAGCGGCAATCAAAAAAGCCAATGTTTATGGTCTGTGCTTTGGATTTGCTCAGTGTATCGTTTTCATTGCCAATTCAGTATCTTACCGATATGGAGGATATCTTGTGGAAGCAGAAAATCTCCATTACAGCTTTGTGTTCAGGTACATTATTACTCTATCTGTAGTTTCCTTCAGATGCAGTGGTGCCCCTGCACTGTCTGTGCAAACATGGATACCAATATCTCTTTATTGGTACAGATAGAGGTTTTCCAGAGCATCAAAGGACTGAGCTCCTTTACATGCTTACAACCCAAATTCCATTATTTTTAGTTATTTTTGGGAGGTTCCATTACAACACCATGACCAGCATACAGATCTAATGTAGTACATTTATTTAACAAAGTAAAAAAAAAACATTGAGCAAATCTTGTTAAATTCTGGCCATTTTTAGGACTAATAGGCAAACTATTGTCAAAAAAGGCAGGTGAAGCTAGGGACTGCCATGGGGGTATGTACCAATGCAAAAACAGGTTTTTTTAAAGTATATCTAGAGAAGGTTTCTTTATGCGGCCATTGAAAAAACACAACTCCTAGAAATAACATGCTTGGGTGATACCTTAAAGCTGCTCATGGTGTTACAGTATAATTTTCATAGGCAGACTCAGCAACATAGTACATTGGCAGTGCATATTTCGCTGTGAAATACATTTTATTTTGCAATTAGCATGGCTTACATACAGCAGCATCCTAAGGCGATTAGTTTTATTTATTATTTTTCGCACCATAAGACACAATTTTTCCCCCCAAAAGGGGAGCAAAAATGTCTGTGCGTCTTATGGAGCGAATCCCTATCGCCCGACGCCCGGGACATGCAGTTTCGGGCGCCGGGCGAGTAGTTTTTTTGTAGATTCAGCCCTGCTCCGGACAAGCAGAGCTATATGTACAGCGTGGGGCCGCCGCTCGTTTAATACAAGCGATCTAATCAGATCACTTGTATCAAATCGAGCGGTGGCGGCAATCGTGTCTGGGCCCCCCGTGGTTTTCGAGGTCCCCCACTCCTCTAGGGGAACCGTGACCCGTGGCATAGGAGCTCACCATAGAGCCTCAAGAGCAGACGAAGAACGTCCGTTCTTCGTCTGCTCTGTGTGATCACTGAGACAGGTGGCGCTGTAATCACAGTGCCACCTGTCTCAACTGTCACTAACTGCAGCTGCTCTCACAGAACCCCTGCGTTCTATGGTCAGGTGCGCCTTATGGAGCGCAAAATACGTTTTTGGTTTTTTTAAAGTAGCTTAACAGGTACACATCATCAAATGGTAATAGGCCTACTTTGACCAGCAGAAAGAAAATGGTCTGTAAGGCCATTAAGGAAGTTTGATGCTGATTTATCAGTGTAAAATGGACCAGCAGCAAAACGTTTTCTAATGAGGAAGAACTGGCTGAAATGTACCAGAGAAACAGTACTGCAAGATTTAAAGGCTGCCGAAGACAATTGACTCACAGGAGGACAACTTTAATGAGCAAAGCTAAGCCGAAATTTAATAGAGACAAAGAACACAGGCTGGGTCTTGGCTCGCAGAAAGACAATTTTAATGAGCCAGGCTAGACCCAAATATACTAGAGACAAAAAGCACAGGCTAGGATTTTACTACAAGAATTAAGATACTGCAGAGCATTCATCAGTGTAAAATTAGCCAGCAACTTTTATTTTATGGGGAAAGGGGGGTGCACTAAATGTGATGGTTTAATGTGAGGCAGTGTAGGTACACTGTACACTGTGAGGCAGTGTAGGTACACTGTACACTTTCTGTGAACAAAAAGCAGCTTCAAGAACAGATGGCTGTTAACAAACGACTGCTGCTCTTTCAGCACCCCAAACAGAAAGAAGGCCTTATCCACAAAGAATAATACAAAAAACACAAAAGAAAACCCCAAAATACCGCTCCTGAAAAAAGCCCCCCAGCATTAAAGGGAAGCTTTGCAGCAAAAAAAAAGTTTAAATTAAAATAAAGGCCTTATCATCTTAAATAAAAAATGCCCACAAAATAAATGAAAACCCCCAAAAACCACTCCACTAAATAAAAGTCAATGGATGGGGCAGCAGCTAAAAGTGGCTGCTGACCTCAAATCAGACACAAAATAAAATGAAAGACAAAAAAACAGCAAAGCGAGTCACTTCCCAAATAACCTGTGCAGTTTGCCAGCATTCCATACAGCAGGTTCCATTTCACTGACACTATGGTATTTTTGTTTTTAATTTATCCTGGTTAAATCTGCATATAAATTTTCTGGGGCGGGCTTTTTGTTGTCAATTACAATTTTACTTTGCTGTTCTAACATTATGTCCATGTCACCTGCATTTGTATTTTTGTGACTTTCTTTGATCTATTTTCCTTATTGCCCATTCCTTTTAGATTAACTCATGTGGTCAATTATTTGACAACATTTTAGGTAGAATATGGCACTGGTTGTTATGTAAGGCTGTCTTTCAGCATCTAGTTCATCATGTAGCCTGTTCAAACAGATAATACTTTATGTCTAATTCCAGGGTGATATCTTCAATTGTGACCAGTGGAACTGCCTTAGGAAGGGCATCTTCTTATACTCCAGATTACGCCAAGGCCAAAATATCCGCTGCACGATTTTTTAAACTGGTGGATCGCATTCCAAAGATTTCTGTACATGGTGACGTTGGAGAAAAATGGGTAAGAAGAATTTGAAAAAAATACCTCTAATCCATTTCATACTAAATCTGTAGGCAGTAAACAATGTTTGGGTGTCCATTACTCTCCTTGTGCGTGTCCTTTGTCACATTACAAGCATGCATCCCGAGTCTGATTAGTTCCTAGTGCTGTCCCTTTCTCAGAGTGAGTTCCACGGTACTGTACAGGGATTGCAAGAAGCTGATAGCAAGACAATTTTAGGTACTTACACAAGGTGCTTTTAAGATTTTTCTAATGTCTATATATCTGTGTATAATGAAAATCTTTCTGGAGTTCAGCTAATGAACCATGCTCTAACTGTAATTCTGTCTGAACCCTGAACTATGATGAACACTAAAGCTAATGTCTATTGCAATTTCCAGAACAATTTTAAAGGAGGCATTGAGTTTATTGACTGCAAGTTTACGTATCCCACCCGTCCTGATATCCAAGTACTCAACGGCCTCAATGTTTCAGTCAAACCTGGACAAACGCTGGCCTTTGTGGGCAGCAGTGGTTGTGGCAAGAGTACCAGCGTTCAACTTCTCGAAAGATTTTATGACCCTGACCATGGCAAAGTGGTATGTTGAATATATAAATTTAGCAAGAAACTGATATTTATGGATTTTTTTGACAATGGGCACTTGTCATTTATCCCATATTATAAGAAAGGCTGAGGAAGCACAGAGAAACACTGTGGAGTTATGTTTCCAGTACTAATACATTTACTTATGCTAGGCCAGTGTCTAGCTCACCTGGCTGGAAAACATGGAAGCCAACCATGTGATGCAAATTAACCCCTTCGTGACTGACGACGTAGCAGCAGCGGGGCTGTTTAAACAGACTCCCGGCGACTTTTGCCGCCGGGAATCACGAAGGGGTTAACTTAATTAAATTAACCTTTATAAAGCAATCAAACTCGTCGAATAGCAAAACCTTCCTCCCCAACCTCCTCAGTAAGTAACCATACATATGCCTCAAAAAGATATTTCTGTGTTACTATTCTCCTGACAAATGTTATATTTCGGTTTGCACAGCTAATAGATGGCCATACCAGTAAGAACATCAATGTTGCATTCCTCCGCTCTAAAATTGGCATAGTGTCTCAGGAACCAGTGCTGTTTGACTGCAGTATTGCGGAAAACATCAAGTATGGAGATAATTCCAAGCAGCTCTCCATGGACCAAGTGATGGAAGCTGCAAAGAAGGCTCAGCTTCATGATTTTGTGATGGACCTTCCAGAAGTAAGTGGGCACATTGGGATAAAAAGTGAGATGCCATACCGCCATTGGGGCCCAAATAGCATTAGGTTGACAGAGGTTCTACCAAACTTTATATTCTATATAGATATAAAATTCTGCTCAATTACCTCATAATTAAGTAATTACATCATTATATAAATACATCATATAATTATATAATACAATATGATTATATAATTACATCATAATTATGTTGCTGTCTTTATCTGTATGCTAGATAATAATATTGATTATTATATAATTTCCTGTTACAGAAATACGACACCAATGTAGGAGCTCACGGGTCTCAGCTCTCTCGTGGACAGAAGCAGCGTATTGCAATTGCCCGGGCAATCATCAGGGACCCTAAAATTCTTCTACTTGATGAGGCAACATCTGCATTAGACACAGAGAGTGAAAAGGTGAGGAATTAAAGTCTATGTGAATGGGGACTCTCGGTTCATAGAAGTGGTGGGGTTGACGGCATGCGGAATGTGTAATAGAAAAGACCCAGATTGTGTGCTGCCATTGCTTCAGGACATATATTAGTGTATGAGACAATCTTCATAAATCTGCCAGTTCATTAGTTAGTATTTGTATATATAGACATTTTGGAGGATGTGTGATGCTAGGAGAATCATCCAGCCTGCAGAAATGCAATCCCCATTGAGATTTCCCAGGTATACTGTAGATATCGACAAAAACTCCTGTGTTGCCACCCTGTCACATCTACCCTTGGCGACTACATGTGGCCATGTTGAAACACATTCCATATGCATGGTCCATGTTGCTATTGAGAAGCCAGCCCAGAGCAATGATGTGCATCTGGTCCCGGAGATAGTGCATGTAAAAAGGAAAGTAACAAAAAGAAGCTGGAGGAGATCAGCAGGACTAGGGTACAAAAAATGATTAAAAAAGTGGGAATAGTACTTTATTAAAAAAAGGTGATTGTTTATGATTTATAGTGCTTTAGCAAACCAAGGGGGTTATTCACAAAAGGGTGAAGAGTTTGGAGAAGACAGGAGAAGTGAACAATCTAGGACAACATAGCTGAACTGGAAAGTGAGCTGATGTGGATAATTTTTCCAAATCAGCTATTTTGGTCTAGATTGTTCACTTCTCCTGCCTTCTCCAAACTCTTCACCCTTTTGTGAATAACCCTGTAAATGTTCTCCAGTTAGGGTTTAGATCTACTTTAACAATGAATTCCTTTACATTATATTTATTTTATGGTCTTGGCTTTCAGACAGTACAGGCAGCCCTGGATCGAGCAAGAGAAGGTCGTACCTGTATCGTCATCGCTCATCGATTGTCCACAATTCAGAACTCTGACATTATTGCTGTCATGTCTCAAGGCATTGTGATTGAGAAGGGCCCACATGACGAACTTATGGAAAAGAAAGGAGCTTATTATAAACTTGTCACCACTGGAGCACCTATTAGTTAATGACAACAAACTAATGTGTCAAAAACAGCAGTGCAAAGGAATAGTAGATACTCTGTGACTGCAGGGACCTAAATATAATGTAAATGACAGCTATCAGTTGTGAGGTAGTATTGTCTGATATTTTTCTTACTTATAACAGTTGGGCATTTATAGATGGAACCGAAATACTGGAGGTACCAGTTTTAAGCTGACTTTACTGCAGCAATAAAGAAGTTAGAACAATGGTTTGATTCATAAAGTAATGTCAATGGTGTGAATTACTTTAGCCACTCCTGTATGACAGCATTGAAAAAGCCATTCTCAGAAATCAGATTTATTTATTGCAGAGGTGAGCAAATTAATATGATTGTAGGAGCCAGCAGACACTTTTAAGACAGGAAGCATTGAATTCCACTCCTAAAGTAGAAATCAAAAGGTCAGGCAGTATCCATGTTTTTTTAAGAACATGACTGTCTGTTTTTTGTGATTAGTCAAAACATGATTTGTAGTCTACAGTATATATACACTGTCTGGCCAAAAAAAAAAGTCATACACTATAATATTTAGTTGGACCGCCTTTACCTTTCATTACAACACACATTCTTCATGGCATTGATAAGCTTATGCAATGTCACAACATTGATTTCCGTCCAGAGTTGCATTCATTTTTCACCAAGATCTTGCAGTGGTAATGGGAGAGTTGGACCACAGCGTAAAGTCTTCTCCAGCACATCCCAAAGATTCTCAATGGCGTTAAGGTCTGGACTCTGTGGTGGCCAATCCATGTGTGAAAAAGATGTCTCATGCTCCCTGAACCACTCTTTCAAAATTTGAGCCTGATCAATCCTGGCATTTTCATCTTGGTGTATGCCCATGCTATCAGCGAAGGAAAAATCCATTGAAGGAATAACCTGGTCATTCAGTATTTTCAGCTAAGCAGTTGACCTAATTTTTTGGGCACATAACATTATTACACCTAGACCTGTTATACAATGGAAGGATCTTACTTATTTGCTTACCAAAATCCAGGTGGTAACTTTTTTTTGGACAGGCAGTAAATATGACATTTAACCATCTGGAAAGTTCACCACAGCCTTCAATCATTTTAAATAAATAGGTTGAATTTTATTTTAATTAATAAAAGTCTGTCTAGAATGTATGTTAAACCAATTGATTTTTACTGTGGTGTCCATCAGCTCTGATCCGGTAAAGTGGCAATGTGGAAATTCTAAATATAATGGTGTATCTAGGATTACTTCTGGTGACCATTTCACACTTTTAGTGGTGCTTGACTCCACTGTGCTGACTCTCCAGTGGTGTTGGTACATAATATTGGTCCATCAGGCTGGTCCAAGTTTATATTCACATATGCAGATGTTAACCAGCATACTTTATATACAAGAGCTTCTGCTTTCTCCTTGTCTGTCCTGGTTTCTGTTAATTATGTGTATTTTCAGATAGTGCCTTATGTTGGACAAAAGGCGAGGTTGACTGGAGTTTTATCATTTCTAAATACATTTGTAAATAATAATTTTCTAATATATATTGATATATTTATAAATGTTTGTACACTCTGATTCGCTACATTCATATTTTATAATATTACATTTAATAGAATACATAAAACATAATTATGTGATGTTTAAAAAAAATAGATGTCGTCTGCCTAAAAATTACACTTTAAGAGGAAAAAAAAAAAGAAAAAAAAAAGCTGCCAATGGCAACAATTTGTATCTAAAATTTGGGGCTACAACAAGATGCTACATACAATACAGGAAATACAAAAACATGCTTATATAGCATACTGTTGTGTGGAATGTGTGCATTTTGCCCATCTATTGATATATTTTCTGTTATAAATCATTATTATTTGTGTGTTTCAAAGCTGAACTCCAGGCAGATATAAAATACATACAATAATGCAGCTCTGTATTCATGAATACATTATTAAATGTATTTAGGCAGTGAAAATACCTAGATGTGGTATTAGCCTCTTGCAGTCTGCTTTACAGCAGAGCTCAAAACGGGAGGAGCCAAGTGCTCAATTTTGAAAAACTAAAAATGGGTTTGTTTAAGAGTTCAAATTTAATTACATTCATTATTTTTGAATAGCTTGACACATTAAATATACCAATAAGCTGCTTATCATCATGCATGTTAAATATTCTAAATCACATTGTTTCATACAGATTTTGTTTCATTTAATAACTCTGTCATATGTCTTATGTAACCATAACTGAAATAAACATTTTTAATAACAGCTCATTTTGGCTTTGTTTGTGGCATGCACAGTATGTACAGTATACAGTATATCATTCACACTGAGCTTTGTTCATCAGATGTATCTAAAAGGCAATTATTAGGGTTGCCCATTGAAAAGGGGATTAATTTAAGTTGCCTGTTTCTGGGTTATACATAGTTACTCTTTGAGCAAGTGAAATTGTGTTTTTCAGTTCATTCTACAGAAACCAGTTTGAGCTGCTTTCAAAATGTTAGTCTTTGCATTCCTTAGTAAATTGTATTTCCTATCTCTCTTTGTGAAAACTGCATCCTTGAATCGTTTACTTTGCAACCCTCCCTAAGGCTGTCCCATGATCTGTACTATCATGATTAGTTTTATAGTTTTGTATACGTGCATGGATTTTATTGGTTCATGCTCTGCCATCCACCTTTTAGTTTCACATATAACCTTTTGTTTTAACATCCATAATATGAAAGCTTCAGCTAATCCATTTACAAAAAATAAAATAGAACAAATGTGGTTGTTTTCTACAGACAATAATTTTACCTTTGACATTGTTCTTTTAACTTAAACTTGGAATATTTGGGTTTTTTTCCACTTGAATTGACCACTTGGGGCCATCACTGATGTTTCCCATTAGGTCTGGAATTATATTTCATGTACTGTGTTACACAAAATAGCCCATAACATCTACTCAGAAATGTTACTTTAATTCCAAATTTTAAAATACTATATCAGAAATAAATAAGGTAATGTCAAACTCTAAGCTCAGCTCGCAACCCTCAGCTAGTGGCCATAATGTGATATTTTTCCCATTTACTCTGATCTGTATGAACATAGTTACTGAAGATCATTCAACCAGAAGCGAAATTACACTTAGAACATTTGTTTTTGACCCATTCTCTCATCAAAAGAAAGATCGTGGATTGCCCCAACATAGGTTCCCTGTACTATCTCTTCCCCTCATATACATTGAATATAAAAAAAGAAGGGAGAAAAAAGGGTTTGTGGAGAGATAGGTGTGACCCATGCATGTGTAAAAGTTGTATCACTTTATTGAATATAAAATACAAAATACAGTCTCGGGCCGATTGCTTCTAAATATATACATAATAAAAGCCATAATCATCAAATATACAAAAATACAGAATCCAAATACATAACTGGCATGATAGTCCCGGTAGTCATTATTGTTTAAAATTACATGATCCGATTGTATATATATAAAAAATTATTACATGATTGTCTCGATTGCCCCAACGCGTTTCGCAAAGCTTAGCTTCTTCAGGGGACCGGTATTTAACATTCATGCATCAGCAGTGTCTGAGATAAAAACAAATATGAGGAGGGGCGAGATGATCAGGTGGCTAAAGCACAGCCAACCACCCCACCCCATCCCTTTTCCGGCCTGGGACCCCAGGGCATCAAGGGGAGTGTCTATCTGTTTCTGGACCATATCAATAGTCAGCTATTGTGGTTCGGTAGAGGGTATGGCATTGCTATCCACATTATGGACTTGAGTTATATCATGTAGACACATGTAGAGCCTTCTGTAGAGACATCCCAGCGGGGCAGGCTGGGCCTCCGTGAAGTTTCCCAGGCGTTTCTCCCCTTGATGCCCTGGGGTCCCAGGCCGGAAAAGGGATGGGGTGGGGTGGTTGGCTGTGCTTTAGCCACCTGATCATCTCGCCCCTCCTCATATTAATTTTTATTTTAGACACTGCTGATGCATGAATGTTAAATACCGGTCCCCTGAAGAAGCTAAACTTTGCGAAACGCGTTGGGACAATCGAGACAATCATGTTTTTTTTTTTTACATATACAATCGGATCATGTAATTTTGAACAATAATGACTACCGGGACTATCATGCCAGTTATGTATTTGGATTCTGTATTTTTGTATATTTGATGATTATGGCTTTTATTATGTATATATATATTTAGAAGCAATCGGCCTGAGACTGTATTTTGTATTTTATATTCAATAAATTGATACAACTTTTACACATGCATGGGTCACATCTATCTCTCCACAAACCCTTTTTTCCCCTTCTTTTTCTCCATTCTCTCATCAGCTGGTTACTCTTACAGAATGAATTTGCATGCCTGGACAAATTAGCTATGCAATTTTTTTTTATAAATAAACGTCCTAAATTCACAATTCAAATAAATGTCCTAACTGTGTATCAAGCTGTTTGCCTGGAGTTCACTTTACTTTGCTCCCTTGTTCATACATAATAATATATATTTATTTCTATAATGTTTATACATGATATATAATTTGGAATTAGAAGTACAAAGTCTTGAAGGACTTCAATGAGACAAAGAAATATGCAGCCTACCACTGAGGACCTCCTTTTGAAACCCATACCAGCATGCAGCAAGTAAAATAAGAAAAATCAGATCTCAGTATTTGGAAATTATTCTAGGAGAGTGACTTCTGCTACTGAATCCACTACTTGAATTAACATTTTCTGAAGGAGAAGTCAAGAGTGGAGGCTCCCAAACTTCTCCGAGTACTCTCAGTACAGGATATAATAAAGAAAAATAAAGAAACTGAAGATGTGTCCTAGAGATAAAATGATTACCATATACCTAGTAAATGACCCTTATGGGAACATTAAAAGCTAGTGTAAAGTGATGCTGAACTCCAAATTAAACTTTCAACAGTACATGTTTTCTCTTTTTACTTGCCAGAAAAGTATCTTCTGCGTCCCTCCCTGGTTTTATAGCATTTTTTTTTTACTAGGGCCTGATTTTCTCTAGTTTTATGGCTAAGCTCTAAAATTTACAGTCTGTAAAAAAGAACTGAAGCCAGACCTTTTTTTTTGGCTTTAGTCCACTTTTGGATCAAAGCAGTACATTTATTAATCTACTCCTGTGACCCAAAATCAGCATCTAAAGGGCTACTTCCCACTATTTGCTGACAGCGCAGAGCTGCGCTGCAGCCAGAAATATTGTTGGGATCCACCCTGCTGCCTGATTGACAGCTAGCTCTCCCTCTCTAGAGCCAGCTGTGTCTGCCCCTTTTCCTGCCTGTTCCTCCAGTCAGTGCTGGAGGATCGGAGTGGGGAGGGGGGGAATCCCTGTGGGGATCGGTGACTGACAGTCACCTCTCTCTGCCATGAGAAGACAATGAGCTGAGCAATCAGTGTTTTCAGTGGAGCCAGCAGCGTACATTTTAATCTCTAAATACTATACTTTTTAAGGAAGAAGTGTCACAAGTATTAAATACCGGTTACATGTCCCCAGTGGACGCAGTTCACATTGTACTTGCCCCCATTCCCATCTGAGCAGTGGTTAGTGAATAAAATTACATTTTATTTGCTGCAAGGCTTGACTGCAGCTCCTCCTCTGAAACCCAAAATATGGTTGTTCCTAGAGGGGAGGTACAGCCAGCACTGAAGCCCCGCCCCTCTGCATTCTGAAGTCCTCAGTTTAATATTGCAGCCCTGTCTGTGTCTCCTCTGCTGCCTTATATGTACATAAAACACTTGCTTTACTAAACCCAAACTTTCTTGCTATTTCAGAGGGGATAAACTACCATTCTGTTGGCTTCTGTTTTCTTGTGAATTACAGCGGCTGCAGAATTCACAAGAAAACAGAAACTGACAGCTTGATAGTCTTACCTCCTCCGAAATAGTAGCTTACTAAAGCTAATGTTTCATGTACATGCAAGTGAACACAGAAGGTACGGACATGGATGCAGGATTAGAAGGAGAGCTGGTAGCTTACAGGAGAAGGGGTGCCGTGGCTGTGCAGGCTCTGGGTGCACTCTCCGTCACACTCTCTTACCTCTAAGCTGTCACTCAGAAATGTTGTCTCCTTTCTTCAGTATGGTCAGATACACAAGGAGGGACAGCTATCTGACAATGTTGCTCAGGAAGCACAGATTTAAACATGGACAAGTGCAATATGCACTGGGATCCCTGGGGGGCTTAACTGTGTCACATTGAGGAAGGGACCCTCTATGGCAATTTTATGTGATGTTATTTGCAATAAACAACATTCTCTGCACTTTGGATTGCTGGTGACCTATCTTCGCATCTCTGTGGGGTTTAACAAATATTTTATTCTTGTGGCGGTACGTCTTCTTTAAAACCTCACTGGCCACTCTCAGTCGGTCTCAGAGTATAGCTTCATTAAAAGTTAATCTCTAGAAACACATAGCCATTCTCTGTTGTGAAGATGGAAACCTTTTAATTTCCATCTGCAAAATGTTTTCTCTACTGTAAGAGCTCTGAAATAGTGTAAAAGTAATTCCCAGGTATTTTACTAAAGAAAACTTTATATTGCTATTTGCTAAAAACTTTTAGCTTGCTTCAACAAAGACACCAGAATGTATCTAGGGTTCCTTGAGGAATAAAGAATTAAATATATTCCCTGTAAAGGTAAATTGGACCACACTTTCTGAGGGTTTAGCTTTCCCTTTGGCTCCTGTGGGGATTTTGAAAATTGGATAGATCGGAGACTGACAGGTCAACAAATATCAGATGAAGCTAAAAGAACAAAATGACAAACAGAATGTGCAAAGTACAAAAAAAATGAATGTTTGTACTTTCCCAAGAGCTTCTTGGTTCCTGGCTTTGACTCACATTATATAAGGATCTCTCTGAAAAGACAATGGAAAACAATAGATGGCTGGGAAAAAAAAGCACTTGATGTCTGAATCAAACAAAAGTGAAGTGGGCCTTGTGATTTATTGTGGAGACACATGCCAGACATTTCATTGTTACTGATATTGTTGAAGAAGCCAAAAAAACTGCAGCGGACGACAATGCTAAAATGCTTATTATAGGGCATATGCTACATATAGTCGATATGTTATGCAAATAAAATTATTATGCAGCATGGAGAAGTATTCATGAAAATTACATATCCCCCGGAAAATAATGGAAATGCTCTATATTATTTATCATCTCGAGTTCTAAGAAAACATTGAAATTGCCTGTTTGCCTTGGATCCAAGTAAGTAATGATAAAGAAGGATCCTCACCTCCCACTGCTGTTTGCATCACTTTTAAAATAATGAAGACCAGAAAAATGCAATAGGATTGATTTATGAAAGGCAAATGCGCTGTTCCCTTTGGGAATTTTCCTTTAGCTTAGTGGGTGTGATGAAAATTTTCTTTGCAAAGAATGCTCAATCATGTGCAAGGGAAATTGAAAAAAAAAGTATCTTTGCTTGCACATGATTGGATGATGGAAGTCAGCAGAACGTCTCCTCCTTCACCTAGCTAAGGGAAAACTCACTTATAGAGTGAAAACTCCTTTGCAATGTGAACAGCATATTTTCTCTTAGTAAATCATACCCACTGTTTCCATAACGATTTATGCATACAACGCAGCACCATATTATACCAACAGGTGGCATTGCAGGAAAAATCTGAAAGTTGCAGCTGCACATTTTGATGGAAATCAGGAGCTGTGTCAGTCTGTGAGGTTGATTTACTAAAGGCAAGTAGACTGCAAGGAAGTTTTCACGTTGCAAGACAATTTTCCCGTAGCTTAGTGAATGTGGTGAAAATTTACTTTGCAAAGAATGAAAGAAGACCCACTCGTAGGGTCTTCTTTCATAAATATTATTAAAAAAAAAAAAAAGACCCACTCATAGGCAAATAATTTTTTTTTTAAACAGTATGTTTGATTGCACATGATTGGGCGATGAAATTCAGCAGAGCTTCACCTCGTTCACTAAGGAAAACTTCCCTTGCAAAGTGAACAACCTATTTGCCTTTAGTCAACTAATTCCTGTGTGCCTCCTTTTTCCAGCACTAAGGTTCATACATGCCTGCACACTGAAATGTCTAATTTTAGTGTGCAGGCTGGTGTCCATTCTGTGCTGGCGGTGGGGGGCGGTGCCTTGTCTTGTAACAATGGAAGGCACTATTAACCTTTTTTTCAAACTTTATTGAAATGTCACATTTCACATCTATCTACCACAGTGCAGCTGCAGCGCGAATGGCACTGACATCGGGTGTGCTTCAGTTCATTGCAGAAAAATGCGGCATTTTTGCATTTTTCTGCAAAGCACTGCAACCCATCTGAAGGCAGCTTTGCAGTATGAACAGTGCACATAGAAAATATTGTTTCTATGTGCTGTTTCTATGTGCCATTGGAGTGACTGGCATTGATCGGGTATGGAAAAACAGCAGTCACCACATATAGTGTGAACATAGCCTAAAATTAAAAAAAGTTAATATCTAGGCTGATATAAATTGAATTAGGTTTTGCTGTGTAATATCTAGTTGTTGGTAAAAAATAAACTAAATAAAAGCACTACATGAAAGCTATATATAAAAAAAACTAATAGACGAAAGAAAAAAACTTATGTGAAAGAGTGATTTTATTTATTTTTGTGGCACTTGAAGTACCCAGTTTTCCCAGGAGGCAACAGTAAAGCACAGGGACATCACCAGAAGAGGATGGAAGCCAAGGTCCAAGTTAAGTATTTTTTTTCTATTCATAGTATATATATTTTTTAGCTATTTTGTGTTTTTTTGGGTTGGAGGACTACCTCCAGATAAGTGGACCCTTCAAATCAAGCTCCATTTTAAATCCAAAGGAGTCTGCACCGAGTGCACAATAAGATTGCAATATAAATGGCCATCTGAACACTGCACACATACAAACTTTAATCTCTTCTTTAAAGAACATTTCTTACATCTTGGTTGTAAAAAAAACACTTACAAAAGAAAAACTTTACAAATTGTACAGTCACTGATTTTTTTTCCATGCCTTCATTTATCAAAGTAGTATAAACTGTGTATATTTTTTTTATAATCAAATACATTATAAAGCCATATTCTACACAGTATGCTGAAGAACCGTATATTGCATTATTGGTTAAGTTTCTTTATGACTTTATTTATACTTAATAATTAAAAGATTACGTTAAAACCCTAGAAAAGAGAGATATACAGTATTTCATATTAGTATGTGGATTGTAATTAATGTGTATCTATAGTCAACATAGTTTATGTTGTTTAAGAAAGAGCAGGGAACGATTAAAATATCCCTGTCAGTTTTTTGGTTTTTTTACAATGTCTAATAACGATTTGTGGAGATTTCCTTTCACTGACTGTACTGGAGACACATGTTGTATGAAGTAGGAGGAAAACTCTAGAAAGGGAAGGAAAATCCCCTTTTAGAGAGTTGTTGTTGAAACAGCCGTGCTTATTAGAATCACCCTCACCGGAGACAACTGTAAAAACCTGGATTTGTAAACAGGAAAATAAAGAGGATGAATCTCCTAAAAAGTACACAGTCTAAAATAAAAAAGATAATTATATTCCCTACGCTATGTAAATGGCAAAGTTCAAGCAGGAGACTTTTAGGGTAGGTCAACTTCTGGTTGGACTCCAGAGGTTAGATCTTTCCCCAAGATCCAAGTTCGGTTGTGGTTATACCTATTTGTTGTGGTTATGTGCATTGCTACAATAGTGTAGCGTATTGTAGAGCCATTCATTTTGAATTTCAACCTAAAGCATGAAACCGGCAAACACTTGGTGCACCTGTGCTGCAGTACACTACGACATGTGGTATGACAACAAACTGCGCCTTCCAACTTTATCAAGATTTACTATAAATCCATAATAGAATGGGGGGCATTAGTCTTCATCATAAAGTAAAGCAATCTATTTTCCACCTGTATTGAAGTTGTTCACAAGGGAGAATCCCAAAAACGTCAAATAAAGCCAATATATACATGCTTTTTGATTTCCCTATAAACAATAAAATAGACTTTAAACTAAGCATTTGAATGCTGATTGTCAGGGTCTTCTTCAATGTATGTCGATGGGAAATAACCCTTCTTTCCTTTCAGCGTTCCATACCACCATCCATCATCACTCTTCTTGTGAATAATAACCATGTCACCTGTAGGCACAGTTAATATCTATGTTATTTGGCATTAGAATGTATAGCAGGAATTTTCTACACAGAGGTCCAGTTATAGCAGCAGAGCATTCACCCTAACCTGATTATGTCTGAACATAACAACTACCTTCAGACCAAACAGCTGCTCTCGGCTCCTTCCAATGTTGGGACCATGTGTTCTCTACCGAAGTGGAGAATCAATGTGCAGGCAGAGCCTCTGATATACTTGCTCTCCTGGAATGTCTCTCCCTCAAGCCCCTTTAGCAGACACTATGTAAACAATGGCAGTTGGTATGGGTAGCCAGACTCTCCACTAAAAGGAGGTCACAGCAGCAGTTAAAACATAGTATTATACAACTTTTGCTATTTTTTATTGCTTTAGAGCAATAGCAGAGATTGTATGCAACAATGCGAATGGGCTGTTCACTTTGTAAGGGAATTTGCATTTTGCAGGTGGAAGTTTCTCTTAGCTTAGTGAATGTGGTGAAATTCCACTACGAAAAGAGCAAGGAAAATAAAAAAACAGCATTTTTGCTTGCACATGATTGGGTGATGGAAGACTCACCTCATTCACTAAGCAAAGGGGAGACTTCCCTTGCAAAGTGTGAATTCCCTTTCAAAGTAAACAGCCTATTTGCCTTTAGTTAATCAATCCCAATGTCTCCAGTTCAATAAATCATAGATGCAAAGTAGATGATAAATCAAAAAGATGCTTTAGGATTATTAACATTCTCATGGTAAGGGGAATTTTACATGTGGACTTAAAAAGGTGTATTGCAGTTACAAAGGTGTTAATAAAGCTGTGCAAAGAGCAACAATGATGTGCAAGGTGCACTAAGCTAAAGCATCCAGTCAGGCTCCAGTCACAGCAGTGAACAATACATAATGAATTATAACTGGCTGTAATGTGTATTTTGCATACTGCTCTTATTCCTATTGGAGAGGTCTAATTATGCATGTTGCCTATGTCAAAGATGACCAACTCCACAAATTACATTTAAAGAATATAGCAAACTGAGTATTTTACACCCACCTTTTTGTAAGCCCAGCTCATCATTCCTCTGAGGCTCATATGGGTATAAGACACGGCATGAAATATGGCTATTTTCACTAGTCTCCATGTCTGTAAGTAAAGTTATAGGGTTGAGACATCATTTACATACAAATATGTTTTACACTGTATTCATGTCACATGATAGCGGCTGTTCAATTTCTCATTTTTAAAGAGCTTCTCCATTGAGGATACTCAACATAAACACTAAGCCTGCCCCAAGACAGCAATCCTTACCATCATATATATATATATATATATAGTGCAATATAAATGGGTATATATATA